AAAATAAAAAAAAGAAAAAAAACTGAAACGTCCCTCGCTTTCCTCGATTTCTGTGAATCGCTTGGCGAAAAATGGCTGGAGCCGCGTGTGAAGGCGCAACGGAGCCCTCGGCGACAGAAGCTGAAAGCTTCCGCGGAGCTTTTAGCGGCGCTGTGTCTATAGAGCTTGCATATCGTTATCAACCCCCTGACAACAGCCGGTCTCGTGTCGGCCCGGGATCGATACAGCCTCTATTGCGATATCAACGCGCAAACCCCATGGCCGGATGGGCAGCGGGGGTGGCGTGCAGGATTGCGCAACGCAACACCCTTCTACAACCCTCCTGCTAGCTCGCCGTTGTGGAAATTCTATAGAAATTGCACGTAGCATCGCGACCAGGCTTAACGCGTTAATTCGATCGGCTCTCTCTTCCCTGGTCCCTTTACGGGAATTAAGTCGAGCCACCATCCTCCGCGACTCTGGAAAATATCCCTTGCTCGGTGTGTTCTCTCTCTCTCTGTTATTCTTAAAGGAGTGAGCAAATGAATATGAATTTTCAAGGGATCTTTTAATCGTTCGATTTGGTCTATCTTTGCTGTGTGATTAGTTTTCAAAAAACAGTAATTCGTACATATTGCTGTTAATCCTTGAAATTCATCTCGTGCAAAAGCGGTTCAGTTTCACAATGATCAAACAATTATCTCAATTTTCAAGCTTTTAATTTGAAGTTTGAACGAATAAGCCTCGTATTACAAAGAATGCAATATGCACGAGTTTTACGATCGATTACCGTGTCTCTCACTTTGAGTCTGACCACGATCGTGGAACTAACGTTTCTATTAAGCAGTCGTAAGCGTCTGCTGGCGTTCTCGCTACCCCTTAATCCGATCGAGACTTATTATGCTCGGAGCTATTAATGCGATCAAGTATGGTAATGCTCCGTGAAAGTTATCGGATCGTAAAGCGGGGAAATTCGTGCGCTGCGTCATTTGTCGTGCATCCGACGTAATGAAACGTAGCCCATCTATCAATATAGCTTTTCGTTCCCATCGATGCATAAAGAATCGACATGCAAAGGGAATTGCTCCATACATAGTTCGAGTAATGACCAAAAAATGCATTTAATGTCATTTTTTGGTTACTTTCGGAAGAAAATATCCCTGCGAAACTTTGTCTCGATAATTGGTTTTAATTCAGCTGAACTCATAAGTAGGTGGTTTAACAGTTTCATTTATTTCAGCTTTTTTCGAATTACGCAGTTGTAATTTATGACTCGCATGTCACAAATAATGTACAGATGTGATTTCAAATTTGAAACTACAAATGACAAATACTACATTCTATCAAAAAAAAAAAAAAAAAAAAAAATTGAAGCGTATTTCTCGGACGAATGTGTTCTATTAAGTTATAGTTTAAACATCTGGATATTATATAAATAATGAGCAACAGTTTTTAAGTTAATTACAAAATGTCAGCTTCTCAGCTCAATCTGTTTTCATTTATTATTATCTTTGTCGCTTGAAAAGCTTGTTTTAACATTCATACATATCAATGTATCTTACATAAACATTTTTTGCAATGTACATTTGATCTAATGCATAAATCGTGTCTAGTTCAATTGATACAATACTAATATTAATTCGATATTAAATTGAAAATTTCGAAAAAAGCTCGCACGTTGTACAAATGTTTGCATGATCGATCGTCAAACCAAAGCATCAAGAAATAATCGATGGTAATAAATTGTACCATAGGTAGAACCTTTGCCAACCATCGATCGATTTTTACAAGGTTAGTCGAGCTATTCAGGAGGGTGCCGGAATTTCGAAAGTCGCCGCTCTATTGTGCTTTTCTATTCCCTTTTTTTTT